TCCATACACTTATGATCTTAGCTTGGGGATTGGTCTGCCGTGTGTTACAGGTCCTTTTGATCTTTTGATCCAAGTTCAGGGCTAGATCTAGCTTGATCCCTTGAGGATCACTTACTGTTATCACTGATAACAGGTCGGTTGCCGATTCGTCGGTCTACGACTCAATTTCAACTCTCCCTCTACACTCAACCTAAAAGGCTTTAGCCCGGGTGACTTTCGTTGTTTTATTAAGGTTTCACCCGGACTTTTATTAAATGGCCATTTGACAAAGGTGCTGAGTATTTAATTAAGGTTGGTTGGACAGGAGGTTTGGGGCTTGCATGGCTAAAGCAAAAGGGTATGAATGTCGAAGGTGGTTGGGGTTGACTCCGTGTAGTGTGTGGGCTGTTGATTTTGTTTGTTGATGTGATGGCAGGTATGTGCTGTGAATCAGATTCTGGATTTGGTTGCCTGCGATCACACATATACGTATTATCGTGAGGGACCCCAATGAGACCATAAAAAAATGATCGTCACATATTTAACTCTTATATATATATGCATGAGTATACTTGGGATGAATGTTTGCGTGGGTTGAAGAGTCCCTACATTGAGCCCACTTAGAATCTGAGACTGAGGGACTTAGGGGAGGTCTCGCCTTTTATTCTTGTCTCCTGCTTTTTGATGATTTTCTTAGTCGGACGTTTGGTCCTGGGCCGGGATTCGAGGTCCTTGTACAGAACATTCCAAGCCCTAGGCTCTGCAGGGGAAGGGTTTTTCCCTCGCGAAGAGCCTATTCGATTTGCCTACCATGACACTCAGGTCGAGAGCCTGAGGTCCGTCGGCGGCTGCACGACTATTTCTTCAGCCGTGCAATGTCGTGAAGGGTTAGGCCCCTCACGACACTTCAAGTCTGACACTTGAGTGTCATAAGCGGTACTCGAATCCACGAGGGACCGCTTGATTATGGACACTACATAGTACGCCATCGTGGCGACTGATTGTGTACTCCTGCATTGAAGTCGATATGAATATGCCCTGCGTCCGCGCGGTTTTATACTAAGTTCAGCGCGCGACGCTTACCCGATTTCCGCATTGGAAAGTTATGGGTTGGCTACCGAGGGGCTAGGGGCGTTGTCGCGTTGTTGGTATTGTGTCGTTTTGTACATATATTGTTTTTATGTGTACGAGTGTTCGTAAAGTGGAGTGCGCGTGGTGTGTGGGATGCGTCCTAGTCGACTGACGATGAGTCGCGCTTGGGACCCCAGCCCCCCCAAGATGTCGGTTCGCGTGCGGGTGCGATAGAGGCGTATTACCGCGTGTACCCCGTATGCTACAGCGAACGAGAAACGCCCTCGGCTGGTACACCTCTGCGATTGCAACTGATTAGCTTTCGTACTGTGGACTGGTATCTCGGCGGGGATACGCCCACCGAAGGGAGGTGACAGCTCCCGTAAGGTGTAGGTAAGTCGTGCCTCGCGTAGGCCCTATCCTGTCGTAGGGGCTCGCGAGAGGTATGGCTGGCGCACCCGGCCGGAGCGGCTTGTGGAAGCTCCATGTATATTGCGACGAAGGGTTCTGAAAGGACCCCCCCAATCACACAACCAGAAACTTGAAACAAGATTGTGTTCGAAAATCCTTTCATCAAACAGGAAAATGGCTCAAAGTTCTTGGAAGACTGAAGGAGAGGATCCTTTGAGCGAATGTGGGTGGAGAGAGGAATCATGCAGATCAGTCATATATGGGACACATAGACGGGAGACTGGAACCCTTTCAAGAATTAAGGCGGCAAATGTCGCACCTACAAAATGCAAAGAGCAATTTCCTCAAGCTGAGGGAAGCTATTCCGGACTTTTGGTTGTCCGCTCTCCGAACGAGTGATGTCCAACCACCAAAGATGTGGTGGGAGGACCCGAAGGACGTCAATAAAGGCTCTCTCTCTCTCTCTCTCTCTCTCTCTCTCTCTCTCTCTCTCTCTCTCTCTCTCTCTCTCTCTCTCGCGCGCGCGCGCGCGCGCACACACGGGGGGTTGAGTTTGTTCGAAAAGAGAATGAATCTTCCCCGACAATGGGGAATAATTCATTCTCATTTACCGCTTAAGGGGGGGGGAGGCGCGCGCGCACGCACACACACACACACACACACACA